TGGCATATGTTTTTCAACGACTATGCGCTTTTGAAACACTTTCTTATTATTTATGATGTAATATTTTCAAGACATTATTTTTAGTTTTACAGCTTGATGAAACCTTTTTGTTTGACATCAGCCATTATAGATAATATGGCCATCTGAGTGTGTGTGGTACTGTTTGTGGTTTATTTTTAACTGTTTGATACAGTTAATTATTCAAAATGTCAGAGTTCCTTATTTTTAAACTGAAACTTGCACTACTGTTCAAAAATAAATAACAACAAACCTGTAATTATGCATTTGGGACTTTTTTTTGCTTTTTCTTGTTGTACCGAACCCGTACCGAACCGTGACCCCCAAACCGAGGTACATACCGAAACGTGAATTCTGTGAACCGTTACACCCCTAGTATTAAAAAATTAAGAATGTTTATAAAATGTTATTTATACATTATTTGATCTATTTCCATATGTTTAAGCATTTATTAATTTATTTATTTATTTATTTAGTCCGTTGTTATTTCTGAATTTCTTTATAGAATTGTGTATTTTTCCGTCCTCGAAAATGAAGAGGGTGAATTATATACCAATTGTCGAATCCAGTTCTGGAAATCGTGCTGCTTCGGAACCCTTGAATAAACGCAAAACGTGCTGTTCTCTGACCGGGAATCGAACCCGAGCCGCGGCAGTGAGAGTGCCGAATCCTAACCACTAGACCACATTTTAAGTCTCTGTTAATGATGCCGATACACTAATAACGCCTTCAAATTCTACAAGTAGCTGTAATGTGTGACAGGGCAGATTTCATTGTACCAAATAATCCTGTCAGCATCTATCTGACGAGGCACGACTTATTTTGCTACATGAAATTACCTATAAATCACACCAAGTTTTACTTCCCTGGTTCCGGGCCCTGAGTTTTTCCAGCATTTCCACATCTGTGATGTGATCTGTACTTTGTTTCTACTGTGACTGCACATAATGAGTATATGTTAGATCCCTAGTTTGACTTAATGTAGCCTGCCTCCCCCCTTTACTGGCCTCAGCAGCCCACTTGAGGTTTGGTTTCTTTTTCCCACATTCATAAACGTTTAATATTTGATTTTAAGAACATATTTTAAACACACTTTGTAATAAAGAGACATTTAATTGAATATTTCTTGTTGTTTCCTAACTAACAAATGTATCTCTTTTTTTATCTTTAATTTAATAAAATGTATATTTTGAATCACGTATTAATAACTTGTTAATTAAGGGATTTGGTAAATGTTAAAGCATTGCCTTGTTTATTTCCTTGGGTGCAGGTCCCCAGGTCCCTTATACCCTTAAACTAATTTAATAGAAATCATATTTAAACACACCACCCTGCTACACTATACATTATGAACTTTTTAAAGAACTTCCATAAACATTCATCTGTTTGCATCTTCCAAATTATTTTCTGTAATATATCGTATTCCATTTACTTGTATATAGACTCTTCTTGCACTATTTCAATTTTATTTGTATTTACTTGCACATCTCAAAACATTCTCTTGCACTATTTTATCTGTTCTATGTCCTATATATTCATGTTGCACTTTGGAGGAGCCTGTGATTTAAGTTTTTCATTGCCATATCACTGTAGCTAATGTGCACATGACAATAAAGCCTTGAAGATATTTCAAGGTTGTATTGAAGAGCTGAGGGGTCAGCATATGGGGCCTCTTGGTGCTGCAGTAGTTCCCCCTAGTGGCAGCTGTAGCAGGTCAAGCCAAGGACCCCTGACCAAATCAAACTTTATTTATAGCACTTTTCAAACATTCCTTCACTGGAACAACCTGATGTGCTTATTCTTGAACACTGCTATAGTTAATGTAACAGAACAAGACAAGAGAAATGTCTTAAAGATATCAGACCCTTTTTATTGTTGCACCATCTCATCACAGAATACCCATAAATCAATGTGAGACTAACACTGTATCATATCAAAATATCAAAGGCACATGGAAAGAATATCCAGTTCAGGAATATTATTCACTGAACTAGAAAGGCTTTTATAAAAAAGTATAAATATCATGAATATCATATCATAAATGAATTGTTTCACTGACTTATCTTAAAAACATCAAACATATACGCTTAAAATATTTTTAAATAAGATAAGATGAGATGAGATGGACCTTTATTAATCCCGGTGGGGAAATTCAGTAGTTTATCAGCAACAGGTTAAGAATGAAAAACAGGACAGCACAGATTTACACAGATTAGAGATTAAAATTACATGGTAATAAATACATTAATAATACATTAAATTATATTAAAATTCAAGATACATAGTATACAAAACATTCACATGGTAATAAAGCGACACAATATCTGAGGAGTGGAGGACTCACAGTAACGATTAATAATGAGTTACTTATTCACTCAGCTGCCAGTTCATTAGCTTCCCCTAACTAAACCTGTCATGAACATCATGACTGCTTTTAAAACTGCTTCAATGATTTCTTAAAGAAGCTATGTTGTTGTCTCTGTGGTGATGTGTAAGTTATCACATTAAAAGTGCTTTTTGTGTTATTTAGATTTATTTATTAGATGTAGCATCCCCCCCCACAGTCTGCCTCGCTGCCTCTGAGGAGTAAAGTGCTGTCACACACTGCTTCTTTGCAGGTACCGACGCTGTGTTTGTAACAAATAAACACTGATCAGTCTTCTTAAACTTTAAACACTTTGAAAACAAGTTTTTAAATCTGCATTAAACAGAACTTTAGTAAGTATAGTCAATCCAAAGAGTTTTCTTGGATTCATTTTGTAACGGAACACAATTCAGTCTTTAGTTTAACCCTCGCTCCAGAATATGTTCAACTCGTGTAAATGTCCAATTCAAAAGTGTTAAGTTCATTTAACTGTTTGATAAATGCTTACATCTGTGTATGTGTAGTTTGTTAAAAAATGTGATTTTGGAATCAGTGATCTAATCTCGTCACATGGTCCAGTGTGGTCACATCTCGTCTTGTTTTCTTCACATTTCACATAAAAACATCGTCTCCTCTTCCTCATCTTCCTGCCCTAAACACGAACAAGCTGAAAAAGCTGCATATATGTGTGAGTTACAATAGAAGACCTTTTAAAAGCTTGCCTGTTGAACATATTTAAGTGTATCTGACTTCAAAATATGGAGCAAACACACTTACCCTCATGCCCAGGATTTCATAGACGGCCGCTGCCCCCCATCCTTGGAGTCAACCTCCGCCTTCACGAGGGCCCTCTGCTCCTTCATGTACAGCATGAATGCGTTCAGGGGCTTCCTGACATACGGCCGGTTGCTGTCCTGCTGCTCATTATGCCTTCTCTTTCTACGGGAAAAACAAAGAGAGAAATGTACGTTAGAAAGGAACTTTAGTACAAATATAGAACGGGTACTGTGTTGTTACATGAAACCCTTTTAAATTACATGTATTATAATAAAGTTCATGTAGGCATTTGCTGTATAACACTGATGCTCTCTTCAGGAAGGGACAGGGATGTTCTTCCTGAGGAGGCTCAGGTCATTCAACGTGTGCACGAGGCTGCTGCAGATGGTCTGTGGTGGCCAGTGGGCTCTTCTTTGCCGTGGTGTGCTGGAGGGGAAACAAAAACACTAGGGACACTGGCAGGCTGAACAAGCTTGTGAGGAAGGCTAGCTCTGTAGTTGGAGTACAACTGGACAATCTGGAGGAGGGGGCAGAGGGGAGGACGAGGAGGAAGCTGGACTGCATCCTGGAGAACCCCTCCCACCCACTCCATGCAGAGCTAGTGAAGGTGAGGAGTACGTTCAGCCACAGACTCATCCCTCCACGACACAGCTTTTTATGTTTCATGTGGAACCTACTTATGTTTCATGTGGAACCTACTTGAGCAGGTCTCCCTTGAAAAAGAGATCAATGATCTCAATGGGATACACCTGGATAAATAAAGGTTTGAAATGAAATGAAAAACAGCACCAAGTGCCTCGGACAGTCCTTTGTGCCTGTAGCCAACAGGCTGCACAACAAGGGCTAAACCCTGTGACCCGCAACTAGTAACCAGGACTGTTCTAGAAACCTGCACTGTTTTACAAGACTTTAACTTGCAGTCACATCTGACCACTTATGTAAATATATTTAACATGTTCATACAAATGCTCAACTTTTTACTGTCCTATCTTCTTGTTTAACTTTTGCTGTATTATTATTTTAATTTGTTTTCTATTTTATCTTTATTTTGACCTTGTGTGAATCCTGTTTTTCATTCTGACACTGTTGCTGCTACAAACGCCTGAATTTCCCCAAGGAGATAAATAAAGTTCCATCCATCCATCCATCTTCTCCCGCTTATCCGTGGTCTGGTCGCGGAGGTATCAGTTCCAGCAGAGAGCCCCAAACTTTCTTTTCCCTGGCGACATCAACCAGCTCTGACTGGGGGATCCCAAGGCGCTCCCAGGCCAGCGAAGAGATATAATCCCTCCACCTGGTCCTAGGTCTACCCCTCAGTCTCTTCCCAGCTGGACGTGCCTGGAACACCTCCCTAGGGAGGCGCCCAGGTGGCATCCTAACTAGGTGCCCGAACCACCTCAACTGGCTCCTTTCGACGGGAAGGAGGAGCGGTTCAACTCCGAGTCCCTCCCGGATGACCGAACTTCTCACCTTATCCCTAAGGGAGACACCAGCCACCCTGCGGAGAAAACCCATCTCGGCCGCTTGTATCCGCCATCTTGTTCTTTCGGTCATGAGGTTTGTGTGCCCTGATGAACCTGGGGGCTGTGTTGTCTGGAACCTTGTGTTCCTGGTAGGGTCTCCCATGGCAAATTGGTCTCAGGCAAGGGGCCAGACTAAGATTGGTTCAAAAAGACCTCATGAAAGAAAAAACAAGAAGTGAGGATACCCAGCCCGGAGGAAGCCCGGGGTCCCCTTCAGGAGCCAGGCCCAGAAGGAGGACTCGTCGGCGAGCGTCTGGTGGCCGGGCTTGCCACGGAGCCCGGCCGGGCACAGCCCGAAAAAGCAACGTGGGCAACACCTCCGCTTCTCCGTCCCGCGGGCCCACCACCTACGGGAAACAGCGATGGGGTCGGGTGCGCTGCCAGAAGGGTGGCAGTGAAAGCAGAGGGTAAATAAAGTTCCATCTCATCTTATCTCAAATGACTCCTTAAATCAAACAGATAGAGGATTCTGGTTTGATAATGAGTCTGGCTCATGTACAGTATGGCCACAGATCATACAAGTTTAAAAAGAAAGAAAACTTACTTTGAGTTGTAGCTTAGTGAAGGAGCAGCAGGGACGGGAGGAGGGAAGTAGGGAGGAGGGACCTCTGCAGGTAGCACCTGGTACAACTCCTGTCCATTACTACACAAATACAGGAGGACGGATACACACATTAGATAAAAGAAAGAGTGTGTGATGATACAAGCAGTCTATCATTGGCACTGTGTTCGTTAACATTATTGTGTGTGTTACTTACATACTCCCTACACACCGAAGGCGCGCGCTGGCCGACGAGCTCCACTGTTGGATCCATATTGACTATCACATTGGTCTGTTGAGAGATATATATTTTTGATTGCTCTACTGAATATTGTTTTGATTTATCGGTGGTTACATTTAAAACAAAGTAAGCAGGGTCTTACTGGCTGTGGAGCGGAGGAGGAGGGGCAGGAGGAGGCAGGAGGAGGCAGGAGGGGGAGGTCCTCTCCACCCTATGCCTCCTCTTGTCTCCATGAGCGTAGAGAGCATCTCAGCCGGAGACATCTCTGAAAGAATCCACTCCAACTCTGCAGAACGATCCATCATGTTTACTGTTAAAGAGAGAAACACTATAAATGATACTCTTTAAAGGTAAAAGGTTTTTTTTTTGTTCACCATATTTATCTCAGCTATATTTACTTTGCAGGTATGGATTTCTTAAACAAAATATCTGATCGAATAGGATGGAAACTGGAGCAGCTTTAGTCAAACGTCGATATTTATTAAGAGTATATATAATACAGCCGGAGAGTTCACAAGGCAAATCCACACTTTCATGTAAAGCAACCAAATCAACTCTGGAGACAGAGGAAATAGCGCCGATACACTCCTTCCAAAGGGGAGGAACCCAGAAAACCCGCGCTTTTACTTAATGATTGCCAGACGTCGGAACAAAGGACTGTTTGTCTCGCAAATGCATAGAAGCAGAAAACCCCTCCCCCACAGGATGGCAGAGGACCTCTTGACCTGTTGCAATTTAAGAGGTTTCTCAGAAAAGCTGAGGACACAAAGGGATTGGATTAAAAATATTCTCTTACAATAGGAACATGCAGATTAATGTCATACACACACAACTATAGCTGTTGAATCTTTCAAGAAAGTGAGTAATATTAAGTATAATAGGAGAAATATGTCAGATTTGTATTTGTTTAATTGAACTGCACTGTTGTGTAAACAGCAACATGCTTTAGATTAATATGTATCTAACGTTAGCTGTGTGTATGCTAGCTAATTATCACAGCTAGCATTACCTTTGGTGTATTTATCTGTCACTGAATGTACAATTACTTCAGTTTATATTATTTAAAATATAGTAGCTTAAATACTTACCTATAAGCTACTCTTTGTACTTATTAAAGGTTTGGTTTTTTACTTTGTGTTTCTGCTGCTGTTCTCCTTGAGAGTCTGAAGTGTAATGAAGTGTTTCTGCTCTCAGTCTTAGTTTGGTAGTTTTGACGTTCTAAATGATGGCTGACCGGCCGTCAGCATCTGGAAGTTTCCCACAGACCACAGATACTGTAGTTCTGTGGAAAGAGAGAGAGGCAAGGTTAAGATGACAATACTCACTCTATTTAATTCTGTATTGACAAAGCTGCAACTAAAAATAATGTGTTTTATTATTTATTAAACTGCCAGTCTATGAATCTGCCAGTCTTGATATATTGACTGACGCTTTGGACTTAAAGACATGGTTTATTAGTGACAAATATTCACTAAAGAACCTTTCGGACTAATTTAGAGCATTGTAAGGTGTTCTTGGGTTTCCTGAAAGAATATTAAATTCATTATTATTATTGTTGTTATTTTGTTTGTGTATTATTATTGTTACTGTAATTATTATTATTTTTTTGTATTATTTAATTTTGTGTATTATTATTTTTACCTTAATTGTCCCTATGTATGTACCCTGCAGATATGGATTTTAACATAAGAATATGATCATTTAAGATATTGTGATATTTTGTCTTGGATTTAACAACTCTACAACATATAAAGTGTTATAACAACGCCTGGACCAACAACAACAGGAATATGCTGTTTACATGTTTGTACAACAATCGTACTTCAATATTATATTGTATTAAATATTATGACACTTTGATAGGAGCATTTGGAGTGTTTTCATTGGTTTTATTTTTGTACTTGTTCTTTGTACTGTGTAATCTATAACATTTCATCATATAATACATTTGTCTTACATTGTGCTATTGTTTTTATTTTACTGTGATTTAAGTGTATACTTTTATAATGTAGAGATAACTTAGGTGTATGTATTTTTTGCTACATTACATTTTATCCTAGCACTTTCAAGTGGCTAATAAATTATTTCTACTCCAATAGTTAGATATAAATATATGTTTTACTTTATTCTTCCAAGTTTCATTTACAATCTTTAAGGCACAACTTAACAGTGAATAACTTTAAACTATAGACGTTGATTCTGCCTTCAGGGACCAGAAAGAGTTCCTCTTCTTCACACTCGTCTGAACTTAAGGTAGTGTATACATCATTTCACAGTGGACTGAGTGCAAGGTGTTTTTTATGAAGGTTTGTTTGTTGATGCATGCTTTTTTGACACAACTCATTTTCTTTGTGCTTTTATCCAGACCACTGAATAAAGTCCATCACCATCAGACCAGACCTATGTACTCACAATAATTATCATAAAACACATTTATATTTGAGAGCCTATTGAATTTGTAGACTTTTTAACTATCACATTATTCTTTTTAATGCTCGCTAAAACCTTTGCTTAATTGTGTGTTTGAATAAGTCCCTCTTTATGACGGGTTATGAGAATAATTACTTAAAAAGGCCAATATTACAATATTCATGATATGCAACACACTCTCACTCCCTAAGCGTCCAGGAGCGACGTTTGGTCAGTGTCCGTGGCGTCCAGTTGTGACGCTCCTAGGCTCCTTCAGCGTCATAAAGGGACGCAAATAGCTTTCAACTGATTGCAATGTATTCCCATCTGCGGCGGGATTTGACGCTCATGGAAGCACGGCATTCGTTTGTGTCGGTTGCCCTTAAAGGCAATGTGAGCGTCCATTCCCATTGTATAACGGAGAATTGTACACCCGGAAGTAAGTATTCCTCTTACTGTCGATTGATTTTACAGTGATATCTGCACTACTCATCGACTAAAAAACACCAGATTATCCTTGTTAATTACACAACATTGATTGGTTTAAATTGTGTGCAATGCTTTTGTATTTTTCCCCTTCGATTCGGAGAAACAAATATTTTTTCTGAGTAAAGGATGGCAGAAGACACTACACTACCCAGAATCCCCAGCTATCGTTTGGACTACACCATGTGCTCTGTTTGACAAACCCCGTGATAGTCCTCAAGCTCTGTGATTGGAGAGTGTGCTCCGAGGGTTACTCCGATTCTCGAACAGCACTTGAAATGGGATGGAACCACAGCAGACTGTCCAAAACTGGATTTTAACGGGTCCACCGCGTCCCCCCCTCCCCCACCCCGTCCCCAGAACTACACATGCTGGCTATTCTGTTTCGCAACATGTTCTCTATCTATGGCACGTCTCTACTGGGAGTTGTAGTTTTAAAAGACATTTTCGTATTTCCCATAATAAGAAGTTGCCAGTATTAAACTGTGTACATCCCTGGAGGTTTAGGGGATAGGAAACACTCAAATTTAAAACATATAATTAATAAATGGGTGAAAATTGCTTGTGCCCATAATGGGCAGCATTAATATATATACACACATGCCAGCTAAGGTCAGAAGAGCTTTATTTAACAGCTGGTCTTATGTTTGTGACCCCTGTTGTTAATTGATAACATTACATTACATTAATTGATAAGCCTGAAACATGCACTTGTCAAGGTTCAGAGGCACATTTTGCAAATATGGCAGTAGCCATCGATCAGCTTAAGATAAGATATACTTTATTGATCCCAAGTTGGAACATTTGCGTTGCATCAGCATGTGTAACAGTTGTAAATATGCAGTGGTGTTTATTTGTAAATCATTTAGTATAATCACACAAATTCTGTGTTTTATATTTAACAATTCTGTGTTCTTTATTTATTGATTGTTCAATAACTGACAAGGCCGGAGATGAAATATCTACATACATCTTATAAGAGAATAATACATTATGTATAATATCAGTTAAAATAAGTGCTTCAACATAGTTAACATTGCTGGAGGTATGCACAAATATTGATAGATGTCTTGTAATGCACTATTGAGGAACCTGCGACCCAAGTTTTTCATTCAATGCATAACTACACCATAGTTGTGTAGGCCTACTGTATATGATATGTCAATAAACCTTAGAAAATCTTGAAATCTTGAAAGGGATGTGCAAAATAGTCATTATATACAGTCTTTAATTAACTATTAGTAGAGAATAACGAGTAATGAATATACTTTATAGGGATCCTATTAATATCTAATAATAAAAATAATGAAATTCAATAACATGCTTTAACCACTAGGTGTCCCTTTATATCAGCTGTGCACCTTTATGGTGTAAATACAGCCTATCTACCAATTGGATCAAATATAAAAGTCAGCCGAATTAGTGTTGATACTGCAAGGAGACGTATTGTGTGAAAATAAATGTAAGATGTTGTTTAATGGCTGATATATTTATGATCCACGTCACGTTTTCAGTTCCTCATGTTTGTCTAGAAGTATTCTCATCAGGGCTCTATAAATACAGAACTACGGCAGATATGTAATATGTAATGCAGCCGAACCGTGTATTACAATGCCGTTATGTGATGACTTTCAAAGAGAAAAGCAAGCACACTCGGAATAAAGTATTATTTTATCTTTTTTAAATGTTTTCGGTCTGTTTCTGGTATTTGTTAATGACGATGTGCTGTGAGATGTGAGACTGGAATTGCACAGGGGGAAATAACGTAGGCTATCTTTAGATGCGGATGTTGTTAAACTAATATGTTTACGCTGTGGACCAACACTATACATTGACGGGGAAGGGGGTAGCAATAAAGATAACACCATTAAACAGTTACACAACATAACAGAAATAATATCGATAGCAGCGTCCCTAGCAACCACCTTGGTAACAATGAAAACGTTCTATGGACGCAATTTCCTGAAGTAATCTTCGTAATAACTAGCAAACTAAAGATCTTGTACATCCACTGCACACATAATCTGAAATAACCACTCATATTTAAAAAATAGGCATTTTCCACTGAGAATAAAACGAAGTTCGGCCATGTTTTTTTTTTCTGCAGGGAGAAATTTGAAGATCACGTGACATAGACGCCAGCCATTGGAATGAAT